CCGCGAGCGTCTGGCGTCGTCACGTCTGCGTAGCCAACGGGAACGCCATCAAAAAAAAAAAACGGATTATATTTCAAACAATTACGGTCGCTATTAATTAGCACTGAGGATGTCGCATCGAGGCGTCTCGGGGAGTCAACACCTGGCGCAAGGTCCTCTTTGCATTCATTAACCTTTCTGAGCGAGGACCGTTGAAATCAATAACAACTTGTGTCTCGTGTCGCAGCGCCTAATCATTTCTTTTTGTTGATCCATTCCCGCGCCAAAGAAGCAGCACGTCTTACCATTGATAGTTGCAGTTTGATTTGATCGCTGAAGGGGCTGGCCCATTGACAAGTTATTTTCAACAGTTCAGTTCTGCCAGCTGGCACCAAGCGCATTTGCTTACAAACAATCTACCGATAGCTTTGCTGCTTATTTCTGTGGATGGAACGCAACTGTTCTCTCCCTGCCGCCGCCTGAATGACCCTGCTGGGAAAGTCTTGCGAGCGCTCGACTGACGAGGTCGCAGGAGGCAAGAGCATCCAGACCTTGGACGTGTGGAACCCACCCCACACACCCCCTACCCCTCCCCATCAAAGTGAGGTACTCCTTATGTAATCGGCAACAGGGAGAGAGAACCTCAGACCGAAAAGGTAAACGCGGGATAGCATCCGAGCTATGCAGCGGAGTGGAGCGTGACCTCGCCCCGGGAGCAAGCAGAGGTCACGCTGTGCTCTTAACAGCATCGGTGATCCTTAAGACTATGATGGATTATAATTGAACAGACCTGGGCTGCAGTCAAGGTTGCTAGGCAGCTCATCCCTCCAAAACGCAGACAAACGGGTTTACCCGTCAAAGGGGAGCCTGCAGCCATGACTCAACTTGACTGTTTAACCTCACTCACCGTAGTCGTCCTGAGGAGAGGTTTCACAACTTAGGAACGAATCAAGTCGAAACTCACCGTCATGTCCCCGCGGTATATTGCACAGAAACACTTCTTTCAAAAAGATGGCGACATTTTCCAATGGATTAAATCATATCATTTAGTCAGCGCGCATTGCACCACCTCACCATGAACGGGCCGAGAAGCGTCGCCGCGGTAACCGCCTCAGAGCTCCCGTCGCCCGGGTCGCCGCGAGTCAACTTGCCGCTCCTCCTCGCTAATTGGCACCGGGCGGCCCCGCACCTGCTGCTGCTGCTGCTGCAGCCCAGGGCGGCGACATTTCGCTCTTAAATACGTACGTACACGAATACGCGTTACGTTACGTCACGCGCGTGGAAAAAGGAGCCGCCGTCGCGCGTGTGCCCCGTGCGTGAGCGGCCGCCGTCAACTACCCGACGCCGGACGGCTGGGGAGCCATCGTCTTCGCCTACAACGCGGCTAACACCTGTAAAGAGAACTGTTGGGAGGGTAACGGCTACTTCCGGCATGGCTGAAACAATAAAATAATTCAGAGAGGTTTCGCCCAAAAGTGGTACTTATAGGAAACGTTAATGTCGCACATAGTTTCAAGAATCCTAAATTACGTCTTTTATTTTGAAACGGCCCATGTTCCTTTTTTGTGCTTTTATTACGAAAATTTGACTCGGATTGGAACGAGTGTTCTCCGGTCGAAAAAAGAAAAGCACGCGGTGCAGTCGCGAAGCTCACCTGGATTGGCTAGCCGCCTCACGTGACCACTACACGCCACCACTCGCATGCAAACAAACACGCGCTCCCAGAAATAGATTTCCCAGCAAACAATGAATAGGTGCCGTAATCTCACTCCCATTATGTTTCTCTCTGTATTGTGTTTTAAACCGAGTGAGCGTGGAGAAACACGCCGCGTTTCCCTCTTGGCGGACGGGAGCAGAACACAATTCTGCTTAGCAACAGGCAACTGCGTGACCTGTCGTCAAGTTATCATTTTGTGGTTGAAGAATCTGGAAATGTTACTTTTCTGGTCAATGGCCGTCACGTGAATTATAAAATGCCATAATGGTGTATTTAATTTGAAAGGCATCATTGGACCTGAAAAAAAAAACATGGAAGAACAACAAAAAAATAAGAATCTAATTTTAATATAAAGTTTGTATCTTGCTTCATCCACGTCCAAATATTTATAGATGTCATTGTTTCAGGAATCATTGAATTCGATCTAAAAAAACAATCAAATATGATGCGTCATTTTTCAGCACTGGAGCTTCGTCACCATCATTCAGAGAGCACAAAGGCCCACCGACATCGTCGTCATCATGATCAGCTCGCGTGTGGATGTCGGATGCAGGCGCCGTGAGGTGTCAACAGACCAAGGTGAGGCTCTCTCGTGTATCACGTTGCGGCTCATCAAATCTAGTCAGCCAAACAGCCGCCAGCCGTCCTGTATTAGCTTTCAAGGACACACTCGACAGCCTCTGAGTGGTTAAGCTTCTGGGCAAAATAAATTAATAAATAAAAAATCTGGACCATTCCACCATGTTTGTCAAGCATTGGCGCCAGGGTACTTTCATGACGACTGCTCATCTGAACATTGCAAGTCCTAATTTACTCTTTGGAGCATCGACTTTTCAACTGTCGCTTCACAAACCATCTGTGGGAAAAAGCACACATTGAACTTTCTCACCTTAAAAAGTGTGGCTCTTTGAAAACAACAAAAATCTAATCATTAAAAAAAAAGAAAAAATACTCATGGATTAAAGAACAGTGAGAACAAACTGACGTTGACATTCAGCTTTTTTTCCCCATTGAAAAAATAACAAAAATCACAGTGCGTTGTAAAAATATATATGATCTTTTCTTAAAAAAGAAAAAAAAACAGAGCAGTACAACTTCTCCAATTTACAAAAACTGTACAAAATAGTTCAAAGACAAAATGAGTGAGTCTTTCCAACATTTTTGGCGGCGGAATCCCGCTCGCTCTATCTGGCTCCGTCTTCCCTCCACTCGGCTTGGCGCCTCTGGTGAACGTGTTGCGGTTCCTGAGAACTCAACACCACGTCCACGGTGATGGGGGACCAAAAACGATCCAGCATCTGCGCGATCTTCTCCTGAGGCACGCCGTGCTTGTTCCGCCTGTTAGGGGGGAAAAAGAAAGCATTTTGTTGACTATTGTCTGGGCCAATAGCGCCCAACTAAAATGAGTTGTCAAGAGATGCCACAAGATGACGGCAGAACTTTTTTTTTTCCCGATTAGAAAGTGCTGGCCTATGGAAATGAAGCTCCTCCTCCTCTTGAGTTTATCGTTGCTTGGCACTAAGATGCCACCAGATGGCGCCTAGGCAATATTTTCAAAGACCTTGAGGCTTGAGCACAAACAGCAAACGTGGATCGGCTCCCAAGGGTAACCCTCAAAATAGTGTTCTGTTTGACCTAAAAAATGAAGCAACCTCAAGAAAGAAAAAAACAAAAATGTTACTTCTCCAGCTCGTAGGGATCATACTTCCAGCTGGTGTTTGGTTCACAAAAGTCTACCCGGTATCCTTGCTGTAAGGCCTGCGGATGGGAGGGGAGCGGGGGGGTGACGGTCACATTAGAAAAAGGAAACTGCCATCTCCATGTTGTAGCCAGAAGCTACTCGCCATTTGGACGTAAGGCTTCATCTCCCAGGCTTGCAGGTTGGTGTTGTCGATGATGACGGGAGAGCGGCCGTCGCGCATGGCGGCGCAAGCTGAAAGGCAGGCCCACACCAACAACTCTTGAACCGAGCACAAGCTTAATTCTTGATGTTTTTTTTGTTTTTTTTTTGCATTCCTCATGAGTAACGCTGCGTTTTCTCACCTCTTCGATGGTTCCACTCGTGTGCGTCTCCGAGTAGGCCCGCTTCGTAGCGGTATCCGCCGTTATGGGCAAAGTAGTCGTCTGTGCTCAAGATGAGGCCGCTGGGAGCCGTCGCCAGCAACTCCCTGTCAGAGAGATATTCATTTAAAAAAAAAAAAAAAAGGAACACATGAAAATCTCAAAAGACGTACCTCGCCATTGTTGTCTTCCCCGAGCCTGGGAGGCCTCTCATGAGAACGAGCACCAACGGCGAAGTTCTGTCAAAGTTGTCATAGCAACGCTGTTGCTGGCTTTCATCTTGTTCAGAATGACATTGCGGTGGGTCACAGAACCACCCGGCATCATGAGCACCACCGTCGCCATTACCCCAGTTGCCATGGTCATAACGAGGTGTCCCCCAGAACGGCCGACTTCCAGCGGGATACCAGTCGTCGTCGGCGGGATTCCCATGGCGGGGTGGAGGTGAACGGTGCGGGTATGGAAAAGAAGGCAGGCGGAATCCGCGGGACGGTCGGTGACTCGGAGTTGGGTGGAATGCCGGAGGAGGATAATAATCGGGGCGATACCGAAGAGACGCCCTGTGAGTGGAATACGGCCTGTTTTTGTACCAGTGAGGCCACGATGGGTGCTTGACTGCCGCTCTGCTGATGTCGTCTTCCCCGAGAGGTTTTTCTGGACGTCTGCTTGTTGATGATGTTTCCAGTTGGACACAAGTGGCCCGTTCCTTCTCGACTTGATCGTCAATGGCTTGGATCTCTTTGTAAAAGTCACTCAGCGAGTCATCAATGTTCTTCTCCGGGGGGAAGGCGGGACCAATGAAGGTGGCGCTAGTGAATCCCACCTCCTTTAAAACGCGTTGGACGTCTGTCGCCTCTTTGCGGACAGCTTCACCCTCGGCGGTAATTTCGTCCTTGTCCACTGGAGCATCGGCAGAAATTTGGATGCATGAGGGAGCCGCTTGAGACATCTACACAAGATTTTTTTGAAAAAACTCTTTCAATTTAAAGTAGCGCTGCAAGGGTCACGCATCTGTAGAACATATTGATCATTATCCCATCTTATCTAATGTAATTGTGCATTGTGAGGCGCGGGTAATATCTCTGACCACTTGGGGTCGCCGTCATGTTCAATCTACACTGTCGTATCTGTGACTTTGAAAATGTGTGCGGCTCACTGGTTTGCAATGGCGTCAAAATCACGTTGCGACGCGTCCGTTTGAGGAACTACATTGGCTGTTTGTCTCTTTCGGGTATCCGTAGCAGAAAGATGGCAGCGAAACATGGTAGCCTCTTGTTGGGGAGGCGTACGATGGATAAATATAACGAGCAATTACGTCATCTACCATTGTCAAAAATAATTACGTTGTGATCATAGTTTTTTTTTGTTTGCATATTACTGAAACGAATAGTTTTTTTAAAATGAATTAACTTTGAAAACTCAAAGCAGTATACAAACTGCCCGTTTAGCTCTAGTTATTACTTCACTCGTGAAATCGTACACTTTCTTGTCGTCTCGTTTTAATTCAGTGGAGTGGGAGGCCTTAAGGTCTCAGCGTTATTACTTTTCTTAAAAAAATCATCGCGGGGCATTCTATTGTTTTAAGTTTGAAAAAAACATGTCACTTCCTTAAGTGCACTTGTATACCAGCCATTAAAAAGTAAATAGCCTATAATATCATATGACCGTACAAGCCAGCTGGCAAAAGAAGCTCGATTCAATTCAATGTTAACCCCCTAGCCGCGTCAATTAACTTGACACCATCACATAAATTAAATGTTACGAGTTACCGTTCGACCCCAAAACGTGCTCACTGCTTACCTTGAGTTATGTGATTAAATGAAACGAAAGCACGGGCGAGATGACAGCTAACTGCAACATTGCTAAAGCTAATTCCGTGTTTACGGATGTGACATCACCAACGTCATTCAGTTCTACGTCGAATGCGCCGCTTAATGACCGGCGGGAGACGTTGCATTTTTTTTTCTTTCATTCAGTTCCTCTTTGCTGAATTGTCTATTTTTAACGTTTTTACATACAAAACAGTAATGTTTACCTTGATTGTGTTTGTAATATTGTATTGTATACCTAGATATAGATATACCCGATTATATATTTTTTTCCTTTGAGATACCTCCATTATACTGTATATGGACAGAGACAAATAATTTATTCAAACAATATATATATATATATCTTTTTTTTTTTTACATTGTGGCTCCCTTTTACAATGCAGCAGTTTGCAGTTATCGTGCCTCATTGGAACGTAAGGCCTGCGTATCAATCATAGCGAGCTCATGGTCGTTCACCCACGCTTCCTCCTCCTTTTCATCAGGTGGACTTGCAGACACAGGCACCAGGTTTGGAGTGTGTACAGTTTTTAAGGTGCGGGGTGTGCTGGCTCTCCGAGGAGGGTTGAAGGTCTTTTTGACAAAGGGCGAAGCAGCCAGGCCCGGGGGGAGAAACAATGGCGGAGGAGACGGCACGCGAGAGAGGTAGTCCACAGCTCGCCTCCTCTTCAAGCTTCTCGGGTCTTTCTCCGACAAAGAAGTGTCGGCTGCGGGCTGAAGGTTCCTGCTCGGTGGAGTGAAGGAGCCGAGGCTTCTGACCGGCTGCTGAGATGTGGTCTGTAAAGGGCAACATGCTTATAAGACAAATTCTGCAACCGAGCACAAGTGGAGAAGAAACCTTACGTTTGTCCACACGTGTTGCGTGGGTGGAGTTTTCGGAGGCAGAGCGGGAGAGCACACGTCCCTCTTGAGCACCTGGGAGAGTTTGTCCTCAGCGCACACAAAGAACTTCTCTTGCTCCTACAATACACGGATGCAAACGTAACTACCACGCATCTCATCCAGCCTCCTAAGCAGTCGTCTCACCGACACACCCATCTAACTGACTGTACCCAATTCAGAAACCTACTGACCCATCTTCCCCCCCAATCCCGTTTTACCCTTCTGAGTACCCATCTCAGCGACTTATCCGGGCATAAAGAAATGTTCTTGAGCCTAGAGAATGTAGGTGCCGTTGCTGTAACTTCAGACATTGATGATGGCCGTCACTCTGTACCTGCAGGAGGTCCCTGAGCCGCCCGAGGGCCTTTTGAAGATGCTCTTCTTTGGGTTTGGTGGAGAAGACGGTGAGGTCTCCTGCGTACACGACGGGGGTGGGCCGGGTGGACCGGCCCCTCAGCTGCAGGTTGCTCAGCGCTAGCAGCGCGCCGGGTTTCACGACGTCCGCCAGGCCGGCCTGAAGCAGGCTGCTGAAGCAGAGGACCTTCACAAAATTCACGTTGCCGTCCACCAGGTAGAAGGCAGGGGAAGGGCCTGAGTGAAAACCGAAGATCCAAAATCAAAGTCTGCTGAATTCAAGTCAATCAAGGATGACGCACGGACCTTTTCCATCCAGCACACTGACGACACATCCCGTCAGATCAACCTCCCCGCACGGAGGGTCAAATTCCAGGTTTTGAAGAGCCACAAAGTCTGTAGACACTCTCGGTTGAAAGCACGCTGATAACCATTCCGCAGAAGCCTGGGGGGGAAATCAGTTCATTAGGTGTGTGAATGCAGAATCACAACCACCCGCTTCATTTCACCTGTACTTAAGCAAGTAAATGAATGAATATTGGTCACCTGGAGGTCTTGAAATTGTGTTTTCTTGGTGGCGGTGAGCTGAAGTGCCCCAACAGCGCCACGCTTCTTCCTGTCCGACGTGGCCAAGTTGTAGACTTTGTATCGACAACCTTCCTTTAACAAGGCCTGCACATCTGAAGACGGTCGCCAAAGGTTCAACTGGTAAACTTGAGACAAAAAAAAAAAAAAAGGAAGACATGAGTGTACGTAGAATATTGTTAGGTAGGTGAAATAGTAAAAGGTGGCGGCTCACCGTGGCCGGTGGGATTCAAAGAGTCGGCGACGCAGAGTTTCCAGACAGGGGTGACGTCTCTCTGAGGGCAGCTTGCTTGGCCGCCGTCCGTGTTTTCTTCGGTCGCGCGACGGTAGCGATCCTGCATTTCTGCCCGTTTCTTGTCCATGAGCGAGCGGCTGTACGCCCGCAGCGTCTCCAGCTGCTGCTCGCTCAGAAGGGCCTGGAAGCAGCAAGTCAACGGCCAAGCCTTGAGAAAAATCGACCTTGAAAGCGAGCAAACCTGCATAGCATCGACTGTTCCTGCATCTCGCAACTTGTCTTCACCCCCCCTCCCCCCCCCACACTTAAAAATACCTCCCAATCCATCTCACCTTCCTTCCTACTCATCCAAACGAGCTAACGTGCTCTTGAAACAGTATTTTGTTACCTCAAGTCCAGCTAGGTCGTCTCCCACAGCCTCATAGAGCTCCTGCCCGTCCTGCAAACTTCCAATATCCCGATGACTCACAGTCCTTCTCCTCAGCTGACGTTTGCTTTCTGCAAATGACCACAGTTCAATTTGGTTTGGAGAAAAAGTCGTCTTTTGTATTCTTCTTTATTCGGGTACCACACTTCTGTGATTGGTACCCGAATGTGATTGGTACCCGAATGGATGTCCGGCCTGCCCCAAAAGTTCGAAACCGGACCTTGAGTCACGATAACTGCCACCTTGCACACAACAAGAATAGAAATGGAAATCAATCCAAGACGTACCGATGTCCTCTTGTTCAAACTCTGCTTGTATCTTGGCGTAAAGCACCTCCATGGCCTTTTGCTTGAGGCCGTTGTGGCGCGCCTCCTCCTCCTCTTCGGCGCGGGCTAAGCGGAACACCACGCCTCCGTCCGACTTCCTCTCCATCCACTGAATATGTATACACATAGTGGGGGGTAAAAAAGTGAATTTCACTCAAATATCTTGTTTATTTATTCGAGCGAGTACCTGAACGGGGTAACTTCTCAGCACCACGATGTCCACGCAACCGACAGGCCCCCCGTTACTGAACAGTGACGACAGAGAAAGCAGGAACGGCCGAGGATCTTTGTAAAATCCCAGCTTGGTGTCCCATCGCGCAGGTCTGCTGCTATTGGCGAAAATCTAAAAGAAAAATTAAAAAAAAACAATCTGAGATCTTGTTTCTGCTGAGTGTCAACGACAGCCACAAAGCAGGTGAGGAATCTTGGTGGGATTATTGACCGTGATCAGAGTTTTAAAAGCTTCGGCTCTGTAAAGTGCCTTTTTTTTTCCCCTTGTGTGTATGAATGATCCGGGTCACGGCACCAATTCCACCCGCTCCTCGCAATAGTATACGATCAGAAGACTGCATATTCTCAATTGAACTATTGAATGGGTGCCAAAAAGATCAAGACACGGCCGTGGAGCCTTCTTATTCTGCCCGATGCGGAAGAAGGTCTACCCGCACACAGGAAGGCGGCGCTGTCCGGCATGTGTGATTCCACAGTCTAAACTGGTTCCAATTAGCTACAGAGCCAGGAGAAAAGGTCACAGTCACACAAGGGCCTAGCGCAAGTCACCTTTCTACTTATGTAGTGGTTAACAGCTCGAACAATCATCCCTCACCCCCGGAAAAAAAAAAACACACCCACAAAAAACGTTCCCTTGCATGTACCTTCAACATAAGCGATTGGGGCGCTTCCAGCGGCGCGCAGGCTTCCTGCGAACCCACCAGCTGAGTGCCGTGGATGATGAGCTTCCCGCCTGCGGCCAGTCGTCCCTTGCGAAGCAGGGCGCTCAAGGGCTCATCCAGCTGCGCCTTCACCGAGTACCAGCCGTCAGTCAGCCACACCACCGCACACGGGTTTGCCACCTGGTCTTGGGAGACCACCCCGCAGATGCAGAGAACCAGAGTTTTGGCCGCCGCGTCGTCCTTTTCCATGATCTTCCTCAGAGCGGGCCTGCGGCTGTGGTCCACCTCCACGTCATATCTGACACGCACGTTGTTTATTTGGTGATTGCAATCCAATCAAGTCCGTCCATCCATTTTCCATTCGCTTGACGACTTATCCGAAATAGACTGACAAGTGAGCTGGAGCCCATCCCAGCTGGCGCACGGCACATATGGACAAACAACCGTTCACATGGAGGACAATTGTAACGTTTTGGGAATGTGGGAGAAAAGTCCCGCAACCATTTGGGGGACACACGCAAACTCCACACGGGTAAGTCGGAACCTGTATTCAAACCTCCAACCTTAGAACTGAAAGGCGGCTGTGCTAAGCAGTCACACACCACGCTGACCTCTGTTGCGTCTATTCATTGGAATTGCTTCGAAAGGGCTTTATGAATATGAAGCACAATGCCCGCAATCCATCTCTCGAGGATAGCACAGTCCTGGACTTGACCCAAAATGGCTGCTTCAAACCAAAATGGCTGACTGACTATCTTGGGCACGGCTGCTTGAAACGTATTTGTGTGCCCTGTTATGACAAACATGTCCACTAAATATGTCAATCAGTGATTTCGGGGGCTTTTTTTCCCCCTTTCAGTGACATGATCGTGTTTCTGTGTAGTGTGACAGTTGTTTACAAAAGAAGGATCTTTGCCCATCCTACCGCGCAATGGGAAGTGCGAGGGCAGTGTTGTGTCAATTAGGGCAACTGTTTGGTCCCACTCCTCGGCAGCTGACTAAAGACTTACTTGGCTGTTTACTTTGACACTTGATGGGTGGGCAGGCAATCCAGAGATCCAATTACTAAAAACTCAAAAGGGAGTTTTCCACAGATTCTATAAGTCAACCAAGCGCAGGCTTTGTCCTTCTCACCTGTACTTGAGCTGCAGCAGAACCCTCTCAGGTGTGAGGCAGCGGCCTCCCATAGTTTGCGGGAAGGACCTCTCCATGGAAGCCAGCTTCCACACGATCCACCTGTAGTGATTGTACACCCACTCGTCAGCGAGCAATTTGGGATCCACGCCGGGCGTGTCGCACAAGGCTCTGCAGGGAGACATCACAAAATGTGGCCAATTAAAAAAAGGATTCGCAAAACTCCATCCAGCACACGCTTCAAAATGCACGAGCTTCAAGCTTCGGTCCCTGAATTCTATTAATTCACCACTAAAAGGTGCTTAATTCTACACGCTGGACTTTTAAGCACGTATCGGTCATTGTGCAGAGCCCAAAGCTAGGACGCACACATCCTAGTTTGACAATCACCGACCTGCAGAACTGCTCTTTGCCGGCCGTCCCATCCTTGCTGGGAATCAGCCGCCCGCCGTCCGCAAGTTGGATGCCGCTTTCGTCTGTTAAGGCGTCCTTTTTGAAGAACAGCTCAAGCCGAAAGCGAAAAGCCTCCGCCGTCTCGCTGGTGATGTTGCACACGTGCCGATGCACTCCATATTCATACAGCTGTAAACCGAAGGCAACAAAGTCCAAATAAATATAAGACAGCACAAAGCTGTGAGCAGCAACCATGAAATGAAGAGGGGCCAGACAGACGAGAGCAACCCCTTAGCCTTGGTGTAGCAGCGTGCCCGTCCATACCTAATTTCACATGACCAAAGTAGAAAGTGCTTCATGGGCTGATTTGTTTTGGTTTTTTTTTGAGGGGGGGAGGGGGACTCACCTGCTTCTGGGTGTACTTGGCAGGGGGCCTCCGAGCCACCGCATCCTTCAAATGTATCCTGGTGGCTCCCGAGGTTTTGGCTCGAAACAAGCTGCCAGGCAGAGGCCTCACTGTCTGCCGCGTCTTCTTCCTGATCCTCATGTCTTGCATGTCTCGGGCCAGCTCCACGTTCGCTAGCGGCGTCCCTGTCGACGCACCGAAAACATGGGCTCATCTCTCTTGTGTCCCGTACCGAAAAGATGAAAAATGTTTACCTTGACCCCAAGATGTGTCAGTAGGTGGGATGCGGCCGCAGAAGGGAATGGTCATACTTTGGTCCGAGGCGGTTGTGGGAGGGTCCTCTGTCTTTTTCGAGAAGAGTTTCGTGGAATCCTGTTCGACAACTGTCCTCTGTCTTTTAAACGGAGGAACGAAGGCTGGAGGCGTTGTGATGTCGCTCCTCCTCGGTCGGGCCTCAGTCTTCTTGAAAAATGGCAAAGTCAACCCTGCCGGCTGCTTGTTCTTCGATGATGCGGCGGGGCGCCCGCGAAGCGCGGCGCATA